GCTTTGTTGTGAGTGCAGATGGGATCAAAGTAGATGAAAAGAAGATAAAAGCCATTAGAGATTAGCCGAGTCCCAAAACCGTAGGTGAAGTAAGAAACTTTCACGATTTTGCCAATTTTTATCGAAGACTTGTCAAATACTTTAGCACATTATCTGCCCACTCACTGAGATCATTAAGAAAGATATGAGATTCAAGTGGTAACAGGCACAAGAGGAAGCATTTCAGGCTCTAAATGATAAACTTACTCATGCTTTTTTAACTTATTTTACCTGATTTCCTTAAAACATTTGAGATTGAGTGTGATGCTTCGGGTATAGGTATGTTTTGATGCAGGACAAGAAGCCTATAGCATTCTTCAGTGAGAAACTTGGAGGAGCCACATTAAACTACCCTACATATGACAACGAGCTCTATGTCTTGGTGCGAGCACTTCAAACATGGCAACATTATCTCTGGCCAAAGGAGTTTTTCAGACACATAGATCATGAGTCTCTCAAGCACTTAAAAAGGCAACAAAAACTCAACAAAATACACGCATGGTGGGTGGAATTCATTGAGACATTCCTATATGTAATCAAGTATAAACAAGGTAAAGACAATGTCGTTGCCGATACATTGTCTTGGAGGTATGCCTTGATCTCTATTCTCGATGCTAAGCTTATAGGATTTGAACAACTCAAACACATGTATGCATCAGATTCTGACTTTGGAGAGAAGTACCAATCTTGTGAGAAATTTGCTCAAGACCATTACTTTAAACAAGATGGATTTCTACTCTATGATAATCTCTTGTGTATTCCTAATTGTTCTATTCGAGATCTTTTAGTCAGGGAAGCACATGGAGGAGGCCTTATGGGGCATTTTGGCATTGCCAAGACTTTGAAAGTGATACAGGATCACTTATACTGGCCATACATGAAAAGAGATTTTGAAAAAATCTGCAAAAGATGTGCAACTTGCAGGCAAGTCTAAGGTTAAGCCTCATGGTTTGTATTCTCCCTTGCCCATTCCTTCTCATCCTTGGAATGACATTTTCATGGACTTTGTGCTTAGATTTCCTATGACTAGAACAGGAAAAGATTCTATATTTGTTGTAGTAGATATATTTTCAAAGATGGCTTACTCCATCGCATGCAATAAGACAGATGATGCATCTCATGTAGCTAATTTATTCCTTAAAGAGGTAGTTCGTCTGCATGGAATGCCTATGACCATTTTTTTTTCTGATCGTGACACTAAGTTCCTTATATATTTTTGAAAAACATTATGGCTTAAGCTAGGAACAAAGCTTCTGTTCTCCACTACATGTTATCCTCAAACCGATGGGCAAACTGAGGTGGTCAATAGGACCTTGTCTACTTTATTGCGTGCTTTGATCAAAAAAGAATCTTAAGTCATGGGAAGAATGCTTGCCACATATAGAATTCGCATATAATCATTTGATGCATACTGCTTCTAAGTTTTCTCCATTCAAAATTGTTTATGCCTTTAATTCTTTACCCTTTTGGATCTAACTCCTATTCCTTTAAGTGAAAGAGCAAATCTTGATGGGCACAAGAAAGCTGAGTTAGTGAAACAGATCCATGAGAAAGCCTAGCTAAACATAGAAGAGAGGACTAAGCTTTATGCTTATCAAGCTAATAAGAAATGGCATGAGATGGTTCTAAATGTTGGGGACCAACTCTGGGTTCATTTGAGGAAAGAAAGATTCTCAGCTGAGAGGAAACCAAAACTTATGCCAAGAGTTGATGCCCATTCAAAATTACAAAGAAGATCAACAACAATGCCTATCAACTTTATCTCCGAGGTAAGTATAATATCAGTCCTAGTTTCAATGTTTCTGATATAGTTCCTTATTTTGCAGATGATTCAGATTTGAGGTCAAATCCTTTTCAAGAAGAGGGGGATGATATGATCATGGAAAACAATGAAGACTTGGAGCTTGAGCCAGAGGAAACAGAGCAAGTAGCTGTGGAGCTAGTAGCTGATCAAGAAGATTCTTTGCTTGTTCCAAGTAGCCCAGTGACTCGATCAAAGTGTAAGAAGCTCAAGCAAGCCATTGGAGCTATCATCAAAACCTTGATCCGATCCAAGAGGGAAAAGAGACGATCACAAGCACTTTGATTGTGATCCAAGTCCAAGATTTCTAAGTGGACTTGAGATCTAGACTTGTACTATTTTTTTTCCTATCTCAAGTTTTGTCCCAATGGGTTTTCTTGAGATAAGGTTTAAGTGAGGCAATAATAGGTCTCTAATTGTCTAAATCCAAAAAGCCAAGAGCCCAAAGCCCAAGCTGTGTCGACAACAAGAGGAGCGTCTAAATCAAAGTCAAACAAAGCTAAGAGCCCAAAGCCCAAGCTGTGTCAACAACTTTGTGTGTGTCATATCACTTAGAAGATTCAAGTTGGCATATCCAAAATAATCCACAACTTTCGTGTGTGTCCATTCACTTCCACCTCCCTTGATTCAAACTTTGTTTTGTTTGCCAGGTCTATCTTTTCATTTGCAGTCATTAGAGTGTCGATCAAGGGCAGATCCTATCCAAGATCATATCACCATTAAAAGCATAGAAAAATAAGTGAACCTCACATAACACTGAGGGTATATCATACTTCGACTTCTCCAACTTTTGCGAACAATTTTAACGAAACCGCCCTAGAAAATAACTGAAATGCTTGTAGTAATACTACAGGATATTTTCTAGTAATGACATGTATAATTATTACTTTTTGAGAATCTTGTATAACAAATAGTGTAAGAATGTACACTATTCTGAAATAGAAAATATTTTCCTAATATAAAATCGACAAATATTATTATATACAATATGCGTTTCACAAATTTGACTAGAAGAACATGCAAAATCAACTTTAAATTTTTAATAAAATAAAATTTTTTTTAAATATATCTTGTATTCTACAAATTTTTAAAAAATTGTTAGATTTTAAAGAGATATACTTTCAAAAATATGATATTTATTTTCCAACTACAGAACAAAAAAGTATATGTATATAACCTCTAATAGATTAGACGAAAATTTTTAATTAATATTTTTGGTTTTTTATGAATATAAAGTTTTCGTCTAATTTATATTTTTTTTATGATAAATTTTATTTATTATTATAACACATATTATAGATATATGTGTTACCATTTGAACCATTCCACAGTCATCTAACTTCACTCTGCATCGTCACCTATTTCAAATATAAAAATAGAAATTTTAAAATATATATCAAAAAGTCGTGGACCAAAATTGGCGGAGAGAGAACCAGGAAACGGACAAAAAGTAGAAATTTGCTCCGACATTAAAGTAATAATGAAATGAAGTGTTATTAAATTTCATTTTTCTTTTGTCGAAATATTATTAAATTAACGTAACTAACGATAAATAAATGAAGTGAGAGATTAAGGGGGAGGTGGTGGTATAACTGTAAACGCATAGAGTAGGGGAGACACATGGAGCCACCCTTGGAGTATTATTTTTCTTAGATATGTGGGTCTTTTATTCATTTTCTTTTTGTCACATTTATTCATTTTCTTTTTGTCATATTTATTCATTTTTTTCTATGTATGCGAAAGGTTCATATTTTCTCTATGCATGATAGTTCAATAAAAATGTTAGAAATGTTTTCAAATTTGAACAAACTATGGTTAGTTTTTTTTTTATAAAAAAATTAGTTTTAATTATTTTTTTTAATTATACTTGTTGGAGGTGAAAACCACATCCCCGGTTTTCTCCGATACAAACCGATATCGGTACAAATTAAGCTAGGTTTACGAAGGAATTGTACCAGGAAGATTGGACCAGGCAAATTCCTGGGCCGAACACGGCCCGATAAGGCGAAGTCGGTTGGAACTTCTCAAAGGAATCGAGAAGGATCCTGAGTTCGGATGAAAAAGGCAAGTTTCCGAATAGAAAAAGAAAACTTCCAAGAGAAAAGGAAAGTCTTCCGATCTAAATGAACTCAGTTGTATTTCACACGATCTAATAAAATCCGAATTTCCGATCTGAATTACTGTTTTGCCTCTACCTGGGGCGCGAATTGTTGATATATGATATCACACAAGGGGCAAAACAGTAATTCAGATCAGGAATTCGAATTTTATTAGATCGGGTGAAATATAACTGAGTTCGTTTATGGAAGTGATAAACGAACTAAGACTTACTAAACTAAGAAGCTAACAAATGTCTTGAGTTCTCGGTTTCTAAGTCTCTGGGGATTTTCTTGTGTCTTCTGGTGTCTATTCCTCTCCCTTTATATATATGCTTTAAGTCGGTCTTCGCGCGACATCTCCTTGGAAGTTTCCTTTTTCTATTTGGAAACTTTCTTTTTTCATCCGAACTCAGGATCTTTCTCGATTCCTTTGAGAAATTCCGACCGACTTTGGCTTATCGAGCCGTGTTCGGCCCAGGAGCTCGCCCGGCCCAGTCCTCCCGGTACAATTCCTTCATAAACCAGACTTAATTCATGCCGATCTCAATTTGTACCGGAGAAAACCAGGAGTGCGGTTTTCACCTCCAACAGTACTTAAAAGCTTCACTTATTTCTTTTTGTTTACAATACATCAAGATTCCTTTTTAAGAGTAAATAGTATATAAGGATAGTTTACTTTTATCTTACATTCAAAATCTGTAACACCATCCAATTTATATAGCAACAGTACAAAACTGCAAATCATAACATTTTTTGAAAATTAATTTATATTATTATTTGCAAAAATTTATGAGTTTTCAGAAAATTTATGTATCGTTTTCAGAGTGATTTATGAGTTTTTTGTGTTGACATGTTGTGTGTTTATTTTTCGTTCTATGTGGCATTTTTTATCAATTTTAATTGATCGTTAATTAATCATATGTGTACTTTAAAGCAACATGGCAAATTTTGTTGTAATTATTTTTTTTGAATGAATGTTAAATTTATTCAGAACAAAAAAAACGTTTTTACATCAGTGATGCGAGCAAAGTTCTAAAAACCAAACATAGAACAAGATTTAATTAAGCTGATGTGGGATCTAAGTAAACAGATCGTGAGCTGATCCAAAGCTGGTATCCGTCTTCGTACTTGTGGTTTCCTTGCATTCGTATGGAGTTGAACCTATTCCTCATCCCCTTGTCGATTCTCTGGATGAGCTGAGTCGAGGTAGTGGAGGGTTCGCCGTGCCGTCTTCCATTTCGTTCACCCCATATTTGGTAGAGGGTGAGATGGAAAAGATACTTCTGCGTGAAGCTTATCAGGAGATTTTGCTGCTGGTGAGTGAGAAAATCCATTAGAGTCTCCCAGTCACAAGAGAATTTCGGTCCAAAAAGTCTGCTTGCTAGTTCAGTCCACACATGCGAAGTATATGGACAATCAAAGAATAGATGATCTCTACTCTCTAAAGGATGAAGACAAAATACACACGAAGTATGGAAGTTGACGTTCCAAGATAAAATCCGATCCCCTGTTGGAAGGCGATTTAAAATCGCGATCCATACCTGAAAAGCACACTTGGGGGTGTTGAATCTGAACCACACTACTCTGCTCCAAGGAACCAGAGATCGTGCCTGTCTGATCTGATCCCAAGTTCTATCTGTTCGAAAGATTGATTTGTACTCATCATCTTTATACCTCCAGAGTACAACATCATCTTCGTCTGGTTTGTGGCGGGTGCGAGCAGCTTCAATCTCATCTTCAATACGATTGAAGATTGGGTATCGGTGTCTTCGTCTTCGGTGGGAGCTTACAGCTGTGGCGACTGTTGCCTTGGCATTCAATCCAAGGTCTAGATGACCTCTTTCCCCTGTCAAATCCTCCAGAATACCAAGAGAAGACCATTTATCAAGAGAAGACCGTTCTTTATCTCCATCCGCAGAAAATCCTTTGCTCTGTTTCAAATTTTAAGTATCTGTTTCCACATCCAGGAGCCTGGTGAAGAGCTTGTGGGATCTTTTATTGCCCAAATCGATGATCCTTGAATGAACCTGGAGTGAATCCATCGCACCCAAAGAGATGAGTTTGCAGTTAAAATCCGCCAGAGCAGCTTGAGGACACAGACATCATTCGCATCTCTAATGTTTTTAAGCCCTAGACCCCCTTCTCTCTTCGGTGTACACACATCAATCCAGGCGACCTTTGCCTTTTCGGTATTGAGTTCTGGTCCTGACCAAAGGAAAGTTGAGCATATGCTCTCAATTTCATCAATACAGCCTCTTGGAAGACGATATGCTGATATCCAGAAGTTCGTTAAGCTTGATATCACAGAACTTATCAACTGTAGTCTGCCAGCAAAGGAGAGAAATCAAGATTTCCAGGAGTTCACTCGTCTTCTGATTCGATCAATTAGTGGAGCATAGTCTGCTTTGGTCATCTTCTTTGTAAGTAGAGGAAGACCTAAGTAACAAACCAGAAGCGTTCCGGCTAAGAATGGTACACTTTCCAGAGTTGCGATTCGCATTTCGTCCTTAACTCCTGCGAGATATACAGTTGATTTTTCCAAACTGATCTGTAGACCTGATACTTTAGCGAACTCGTCAAAAACCCCAATGATCCCCTCCATTGAGCGCAAACTGCCATCTGAGAAAACCATTAGATCATCTGCGAAACAGAGATGTCTGAGGTTAAGATCCTAGCAATTAGGATGATAACCAATTCGCCGGTCCACTGCAGCTTTATCCATCATCTTAGAAAGAACATTCATGCATATGAGAAAGAGGTAAGGAGATAGAGAGCATCCTTGCCTTAAGCCATGTTTGCTTCCAAAATACCCAGCCAATTCTCCATTGACCTGAACAGAAAAAGATGCTGAAGAGATACACAATCTTATCCAGTGAACAAACTGAGTAGGAAAATCCAGGGCTCTGAGGATGTTAAGTAAAAACTCCCATTGCACTGAATCGAACTCTTTCGAAATATCAATCTTCATAGCAGATTGAGGCGAGATAGATTCTTTATGATAGTCCTTGACTAGCTCAGAAGCTAATAGCAGATTCTCGATAAGGAGCCTATCATTAACAAACGCTGTTTGGTTTAGTGCAATGAATTGGGGAAGAATGAGCTTCAATCGATTTGCTATGATCTTAGATATGACCTTATACGACACATTGCAGCATGATATCGGCCTATAAGCTTTCATCTCAATAGCCTCCTCTTTCTTCGGAATAAGAGCAAGTATTGTCGAGTTAATGCCTTTAGGCAAAAAACCTTTACCAAAGAAAGACTGAACGCTGATGACAAAGTCTTTCCCGATAATAGGCCATGCTTCCTTGTAAAACTCGACAGTGTGGCCATCCGGTCCTGGTGACTTGCCGCCTGCCATAGCAAAGAGAAAAACTTGTATTTCTTTTCCAGTCACTTCCCGAGTTAAGAGATCTTGGTCCATGGCTGAGCATTTGAAATTTAACAGATCTGCTATTGCTTCCTCGTCAAGCTGCTCCAAATTTTGTGGCTCCTTATTTAAGAAAGCTTCAAAAAAATTTGCAGCCTCTGTTTTAAGTTCCTCCTGACCTGTGATCAACTCCCCCGAGACTGTTCTGATCTCTCTAATACCATTCCTCGCTTCTCTAGCTTTGACAGCGCAATGAAACGCTTTTGTACAGCGATCCCCAACATTGAGCCAGTGCATCTTGGATTTCTGTTTCAAGTATCCTTCTTCTAACTTTGCAAGATGCTCCCATCGTTGTTGTGCTTCTTTCTCCATCTCCTGGTTACTCTGATTTGGTGTTGACAAGGTTATCTCTTGTCGCTCACACAATATAGTATGACTCTCCTTAACTTTGTTTGATAAGTCATTCATGTGCTCTCGCGAGATTTTCCGGATAGTGCCTTTCAATTCTTTTAACTGTTTCGAAAACCGAAAAAGAGCTGAAGTAGAGATGAAGAGTGGTGGCTTTGAGCTCCAGTAATCTGCAACTTTCGTCTTAAAAGACGGGATGGAAGCGACCACATTTGCGAACTTAAACGGTCTATTCTTTGCAACTAAAGTATTGGTTTGAATATGAACTCGACACCGGAGATGGTCAGAGCATCCACCCGGTTCAAAGATACAATAAAACGAGGGAGTTGACATCAACCACACATCATTAACCATAACTCTGTCCAGTTTCTTACAAATAAGATCAGTAGCTCGTTTGTTTCCCCAAGTGAATAACGGCCCATGGAACCCATATCAGTTAGACTGCAATCTCGTATCGTATCCTGAAACTCAACCATACCAACTTCTGAACCCGAAAAAGAATCAACATTGGAACGTTCCTCTGAGGATGCAATTTCATTAAAATCACCCATAACTACCCATCGTAGTTTTCGTAGAATGGGAGAGGCTGAGTGAGCTCTCAAGTCTTCCCACAAGCTACGTCGTTCGTCTTCATAATTAGACGCATAGACATACAAACACGCAAATTCATCGTCCTCTCCATGCAGTTTTACAAGAATTGTGATCAGCTGGGCACTCTTGAAAACAGGAGTTACCCTCACCGAATCTTTCCAAACAATCCAGATTCACCCTAGCCTGTGACGTTCATAATTGTTCATGAATGACCAAACTTGAAACACCGACGCCAGGATGCGTTCTGATTTTGCCTCTTTTACACGCGACTCCAGCAACACTCCAAAATCAAACTTATGTTTGCCGCACCAATCTCTAACTACGCTATGTTTATTTACTTGGTTAATCCCTCTGATATTCCAGAAGAAGCTTGTCATTGGTGATGATTATTGGGTTTGCGATTCCTCTTCTTAGCCGATTTCTTCTTGTTGGAAGATTTCAGCGAGGAAGAAGTTTGCGTTGGCTTACTGTTTGTAGTTGCTGCTTTCGAAGCTCTAGGAAGAAGAGCACGAGTGCCCACTCCCTTTGAAACCTCTGCAACGGTCATTGATGGATCACCTACTGTTATCTCATTAGCAGGAAGCTTCTCATCATCCCCTGAGCCAACCGACTCATTGTGTTCCAAAGTCTCAGCGTCCTCATCTGATAGCGACAAATACCTTGAGTTTGTCACAATTTCGAGGTCCTCTGCAACTTTACTTTTCTGTTTACCAGCTTTGTTTGGAGAAACACTGACCCAATCCTCTGTTTTCCCACCTTTAGGCTCTTCAACATTGGTTTTAGGAGTGCTGATTTGCGGCCCTTCTGCTAAACCTTTTCCTGATTTAGTCCGACTTGTTTCACCTTCAACTTTTTCACTATCAGCATTCTTCCGAGGAGTAGTACTGACGGAGATAACGTTTGCAACTGCAGGTACTGTAGTATTCGGGGATACCTGCAGAGGTAACTCTCTTCGCATGATTTCTTTAGAACCTGGTTCTAAAAGACATTCCCTGTTAAGGTGTCCCCAAGTGTTGCACAATGTGCATCTTGGTGGTAACCAAGGAAACTCATATTGGACACAAGCTTCCTTGCCATTCTTAAGCTTGAAACAGAAAGGGTCTGGAAGTTTATCCGTCAAATTCACTTCGACAAAAACTTTTGCTTCCTCAAAGTTTTTCGCCCACAATGTGTCCGGATGAAGCTTTTTCGGAACTCCAAAGGGACTAGTGAGGAAACTAAGGCCACCCCAAGAATAGAGAGATCTCGGAACATTCTTGAGTGTGACCCACATTGGAACCGTTTTGAGCTCAGGCTGAGCTTCCTCTGCAATAGGACTCCACTTTGACACTATCATTGCCACGTTTTTAATGTTCCACATTCTTTGATTTAAGACTCGTGCTCTGGTTCCCGCATCGTTGATACGAAATTTCACAGTCGTCTCGTTCACCACAAATACTTCAATGTTGGTTGATTTGTTACCAATGTTCCAAATTTTGTTGACAATCATATGGATTGAACCCACGTGTGGAGCTTTATTGAGGAATTTCCCCACAATACAATCTGCCCAAAGAGGTTGTTCATCAAACAGAGAATCTGAACTGAGATAGTTTCCACACCATCGACTACCTCAATTGCCACATCGAACTTTTGCAGAGTCAGAGAAGCCTTAACTACTGCAGACCAAGACTTTCCATTACCTGCAACATCTGAGGGCTCTTTTGAAACCTGCGAAGGTTCCGTAGATTTCTCAGCTTTCTCCAAGATCTGTTCGATCGAGGAAGAACGTTGAACTGCTGCTACAGGGTCGGAAACCGCCACCGGAGAGCAAACTTCACCGACTGGCGTAGCCCTAGCTTCCTCCACAGGCTTCGCCGCTAACCCACCTTCATCAGAAACCAAAACCCTCGTCTTTGCCTCACTGCCTTCAGAAACCACCTTCAACTCATCCGATGATGGAGAGCCCATCATCTCCCCGCTTTCTCCGACAGGAGGGACCTCCTGTCCCGGCGCCGCCTAGTTTTTCCGGCCTAGCGTGGCCAGAAAGCTGCAAACCCTAAAAATCGCCCTTGCAATCACCCTTGCTGACGTGTCCACTGTTTTTATGATTATTACACTATCAGCATTTCAATTTTTTTGTAATTAGGTAATTAAACCTTGTTTTATTCAAAATTCTATTAGTCCCTTTCATTGTAAATCCTACGATTTTCTTATTATTAGTTTAATTATCTTTATATGGGACGAGAATTCAGGTTTTTTTGTTGTCCACAGCCTTAGTACCTAGAACGGTTCGACTAACCAAACCGGTGGTACCGAATTTACATAAGTGACGTCTTGAGGGTAAACAGGAGCACTTCTTGCTAGTTTGTATGCCTTCGAGTTCTTTGCGCGTGGGATATGTGATATAGAGAAAAACCTGAACATGTCTTTCATCTTCATATATTCCTCTCAGTGTAAAGCAAAAGCTGACCATTCGACGGGTGTAGACACCATCTTAACCAATTCTGAACAGTCTGCCGTAATATCTACCTTCATCTTATGATTTTCCAACATGCAATGCATACCCCAAATGTGGGTTTCCACCTCTGCATGTAAAAGTATAAGACTCCGACTTACATTCTGAGCTCCCATTATTTTTTCTATAGCATTTTCTTGAAAATAATACCATCCTAAGCTGGTAGATAATCTGTATCT